CCTTTATTGTCAAGGCTACTGCTCAAAACATTTAATGATATTTTATTTTAAAAGTGAAATACATCACAACCATATGTGTATTACTTGTTAGATTTATTGTACTGTTGGCAGTAGGAAATACTTCTACTTGCTCAGTCATTGAAATAATTTCTATTGCCTTTTTTGAACATTAGGAAAACGACACTCATTTTATTTGCTCTATTAACTCTCAAAGTGTCAGATTCAGTAAAAACTTGATTTTCCACTCTGTAGAAATCATGCCCAAACCAAAAGGTTTTAGGCCTTTAAAGATAAAAAAGACTGATCAGGCTTTTAAAGAATCTCTCACAATTATTTTTTTTAACATTCTCTTACTTTTCATTCTAGTTAAAAATGTATCTAATATGACAAATTTTTGTCCTATACCCAAAGTATCTGGAGCACACACATTCACCTGCACTTGGTAGTCATGTCTGCTGCACTCAAACAAAAAGCAGCACCTTATGAATAAGAACAGATGCCACATTTGTTTTTAGGAATTCACCTCTGAACCATGTTTGTTCACCATCATATCAGACACAGAAGAACTGGCCTAGTATTTTACCTAAAATGACTTAACAGTTTATTAAAATCAGTCACCCATATAAAAATCTGCATATTCATATATCCAAAGAACCTTTCTCTTCCTTTACCTGCTCCAGGAAAAAGCAAATAAGCAAACAAAAAACCATTCAAGAAAAACATATCTGTTCCCATTCTGATTGTAACCCAAGTCATTTTGGGGAAAAAAAGTCTCCACAGTGCCTGAAAAAGAGCGATTCTAGTATTTTAATTATCTTCATCTAGAGAAAAATAAAATAGTGCAATGTCCAAGATGTGTGTGTGCTAGAACTCCATGGCAATACTTTGCTTCTGTAAAAACCACTTCATCAGACTGATACTTTTGCACCTTTTTATGTCTTTAAACAGAATTATAAATGCTTTTTAAGCAGTAGCCAGGACTTCAAAAAGCCTGGATTCTTTAAGACTCATCAAAATAAATAAGAATCCAGTTCTACCTACCTTAGATATTTCTGGCTCCACTTGTCTCTTGGGTGTCTCTTTTGACTCAGGCCCTTTTGGGGCACTAGTGTTCTTAACCGAAGGCGATTCAACTCCTTCACCTTCAAGTTGCAGATTAATACCTTCTGTGGGGACAGGATGATCAATACCATTTGGATTCAAATTGCAATGGATAGCTGGGAAATAAAACATAAGAAAGAGAAACACTGCTTAGGAAAGAAGTACACAATGTTTCAAACATTTAGCACAAACTACTGAGAAGTTCCATGTGCTAACCAGAGCTTTGTCAAACCATAGGAAATGAACCATCCGTACCTTGGCGTGGATTCAGGGTGAGATATTTGAGAAAGAAGATGAGAGAAATGCAGCATTGTATAAGACTATTTAGTTAGGCTACTGTGTTGCATTGTGCTCCACCAGACTCACGGCACCATCTAAGACCCTCAACTTAACAGCTTCTACCAGGTATTCATCATTCAACCTTACCTTTTTTTCCTTTTTCGACAAGCGAGTTGAAGTTTTTCTATTACATTTTCAATTCCTACAACATTTTAGGTCCTAAAGAATGTGGGATATGTAAGCTGTATGCAGCAAGTCAGCAAGTCATTCTCTCTGCACGGAGTAATGACTTATCCAGCTGATTCTCTCTCCTTCAGCCCTTTGTACCACTGCAAGTTACCACCTACACCATCCTAACAAGCAAGAGAAATGTACTCTCTAGGAGTATATAATGAGATGTGGACTAATGACAGCAGAATCAGGAAAGCATCCAGAAAAAAAACCCCAAAACAAATGCAAACTATACCACAGAAATGTCCATTTAGAACTACGGCAGTAGTTTGTTTTCTGCCCAAATTTTTACAGTTTCAGCACTCATATAGACCTTAACAACCTTCTTGGCATGCATGGCAATTTTAAGATGTGTGGATCCTGAGGCAACTTCCCCTTCATGAGACTATCCCACTTCTGCATTTATATTCCTGCGTGACTGTGCTACTTTTAGTGCTACTTGTAATTAATGGTCCCAACTTCCCATGTGCAAAAGAACTTTGCTCAGATACTGTGATGTAATGTTTGACAGACCTGAATAGAAACCTAAACCACAATGTAAAGCCAAAATAAAAGCTGCCCTTTTACCCTTGCTTGGCTTAGAAGGAAAGGGTGTGGAGCCGGGGAAGGAATCACAACTGCCAGTTCCTACCAGCTACAGATCAGCCCTGCAAAGCCTCTCAGGGGAAACTGGCTCAAGCTCCCAGAGAAGGCAAAGGGTTCTTTAAACTACAACACCTTTTGAAAATTCATTCACCTTATATCCCAGAGTCTTAATTGAGAACTTGGAGCCTAAGTTACAGCAATTCCTTGGTACAGAATTAAAACAAAGGGCAAAAAGTTAGCCTTTTCTCCTTTGAATTTTTAAAAACTTTCAAATATTTGTCAAAGATAAGTGATCTCTGTGAGCACCACAATACCTACATCTGCAAGTCAGGACAGAAACACCTTCTACAGGAAGTTAAAAATCAGAAATGATTCTGTGCTTTATATCAGTGTGTCTTAAGACACCAAAAAATTCTCTCTTTCCTAGATCATATCCACCTACTATTATCTAACTCCTCTAGAACATATTTACCTACCTAAAAGAAAGACACAATTACTAACAATTACTTTGCTTATCCTCCAGATCACAGAAAGGATGGATGTGATCCACCAAGACAGATTTTTTTCACAGCCCAATGACGATGGAAGCTGTTCTTATAGTAGCCAAACTAATTCACACCTTCACAAAAAGTTGGAGATATTTTAACCAACATGTAAAAGTACTCCCAGGACACCCTACTCCAGAAAGGGCTGGAAATTAGCAGTAAAAGGCACTTGGTATGTAATGTGGTCCATAAAAATCCTCCGTCTTCCTCCAACTGACCTTGCCTAGCTGAAGACTCCTGCACACACCTCTGAAATGCTATCAGACTCCAAAACGGGCAATTTTTGACTGTCAGCTCTGTTCCAGTGCTCACCAGAGAGAAATGACAAAGCACAGCGGGACTTAACCCTGCCTGAAAGAACACTGCCAGCAGCAAGCTTCCTGTGAATTGCAACTCCTCCCTTCCCAGTGCCCCCAAACAATAGGGATTAGGGAGGAGGGTGCTAGGGAATGAACAAGGAAATCCTTCTGGGTTACAGCACTCATTTACCATGCATTACGGGAAGCTATAAATGATAGAGGTTTCTGATAAGATGGTAGCATGATGACTAACCTTATCTCCTTCTACATATGACCAGATGATCTGCTTAATGGATGAAGGAAAGGCTGTGGATGTTGTCTACTGGGACTTGAGTAAAACCTTTGATACTGTCTCCCACAGCATTCTCCCAGCAAAACTGGCTTCTTATGGCTCATATGGGTGTTCTGCTCACTGGATGGAAAGCTGGCTGGATGGCCAGGCCCAGGCAGTCGTGGTGAATGGAGTACATAGAGCTGGTGGCCGGTCACAAGTACAGCTCCCCAGGGCTCAGTACTCAGTTTAGTACCTATCAGTGATCTGGATGAGGGTATCAAGGGCATCCTCAAAAAATGTGCAGATAACACCATGTTAGGCAGGAGTGTTGGTCTGCTGGAGGTTAACAAGCTCTACAGAGGGATCTGGACAGTCCGAATCAATGGGCTGGTGCCAACTGTAAGAGGTTCAATAAGGTGAAGTGCTGGGTCCTGCACTTGGGTCACAACAACCCCAGGCAGCCCTAAAGGCTGAGGGAACAGTGGCTGGAAAGCTGCCCAGGGAAAAGGACCTGCGGGTGTTGGTTGACAGCAGCTGAACATGAGCCAGCAGTGTGCCCAGGTGGCCAAGAAAGCCAGTGGAATTCTGGCCTGTATCAGAAAGAGTGTGGCCAGCAGGATCAGGGAAGTGATTGTCCCCCTATACTCAGCACTGGTGAGGCCACACCTCGCATCCTGTGTCCAGTTTTGGGCCTCTCAGAAAGACATTGAGGGCTTGGAATGTGTCCAAAGAAGGGCAACAAAGCAGCAAAGGAGCAGCTGAGGGAGCTGAGGCTCTGTAGCATGGAGAAAAGGACGCTCAGGGGGACCTTATCGCTCCTCCAGGTGGGGATCAGTCTCTTCTCCCAAGTAATAAGTGATAGGACAAGAGGAAATGACCTCAGGTTGGGAGGTTTAGGTTGGATTTTAGGAAAAATTTCTCCATGAAAAGGGTTGTCAAGCATTGGAACAGGCTGCCCAGGGAAGTGGTGGAGTCACCATCCCTCTAAGTATTTAAAAGACATGTAGATGTGACACTCAGGGACATGGTCTAGCGGTGGACTTGCCAGTGCTGGGTTAAGGGTTGGATTTGATCTCAAAGGTCTTTTCCACCTTAAATGATTCTATAACTCTATAACATCACCTGAATGGCTTAAAAATTAAATACATCACTTGGCAAGATGCTGCCCATCATTCTCTCAAGCGTAATGAATGTTAGTGCTGTTTCAGCAATGCTTTTTATTGGACTCCTTCAGGATACAAAAGAGAAAAAATGGAAGAGGCTGCTAGCAATCAAATACATGGTCATTACCTTTTAATTGAAAACAGATGACTGGTTAAAAGAAACACAGGCTGCCTCAGGAGACCTTTGCAGAGTTGTGAATACTGGAGAGAGAGACTTTTTAAAAATTTCCTAGGGGTATTTATTTCCTAAAGAGAATAAGTATCTCAGTCACTTGGCAAAGCTAATCTCTCTTTGTCATGACACATCTTCAGGTGGCCAATTCTATTGTTGCTGCCTCCAACCCTCAGCTACACCCAGGATAGGAAGCAAAGAATATTTGCTGACATGAGTCTGTTATTTCCTGTTACTACACAAAAAAACACTGATCCATCTCTGTGGCAGACAGAGGTAGAGCTCTTGCCTCCTTTTAAATATCAATACAAACCAAAACTGCTCCAAGATTTGTTAAAAGTAAGGAAAGAAGTTGATGTTTGGTCAATAATAATTTATTCTCTTCTTAAATCAGCACCTTATATAATTTTAGCTAGATAAGGTCAGCTGTAAACTCAGGATCAACTATCAAACCTAATGGGGTTTGAGGGGCTAACAGCAACCAGGGTTAACATTCCATAGAACTGAGTTTAAACAGCTCTCAGAATATAAACACAAATCAGTAACTTTGCCACAGCCCAAGTGCTCTGACCCTCTTAGCTGACACTTCTTGAATCTCTTTCAGAACTTAATGACATTCATCTAGAAAAGATTCTACCTACAGACAAAGTAGTTTCTTGCTACAATATCATCCAGACCCTTATTTCTCATTACCCTGGTATTGGCTATCACCAGCTCATCCCACCTTCTGTATTCAGACCATTTCCTCACACTACTGCTTTGACAATATTTCTACTGCCTCAGCACCTCTTTATTCTACCAAACTACATCCATCTCATCAGTCCCAGACTTTGAAAGTCCATCAAGATAACAAACACCCTCCAAATCAGCTGATAGTATCAGCCTAATACCACTAGATATCAGCAGTATAATTAGGTTTTGAAACAGAACCTCTTCCAATATTCTTCCATACAATCTCAATATTGATATATCATCCATATATCTCAGTAATACAACTCTTCATCCAGTTTCAGATCACTTAAATTCTCCTTTCCCTGCTGAAAACCCTACCTCACCGTTGATTAATGCCATGTCTCTCTTCATGCTTCCCCAACAATTGCCATTTAACTTGGGTTGAAAGCTTTCTGTGATGGGAACTTATTTCCATTTGGAGAGGGAGGGTGGATGTTCTGTAGAGCTCTGCACAGCAACAAGCACATGATGAATGGTGCTGGCAGACACAATAACATAGATCAACAGATTACATTTATGAAACAAACTATTATTTAAAACAAAGGTATTCAAGTGTTCTTGTACTCCTAACTCTATGGTAGAGCTGAATCTACCGGAAAATGTCCACTTTTCCAGAACTCAAAGAAAAGACTGCTGAGATCTGCTAAGTTATGAGAGTCAGCAGCTCTGAGAGAAAACTAGTAAGTGGAGCACCCAAATTGTAAAAATGACTCCATGTCTGTCCTAAAAAAAATAGGGAAAGAACAAAATTAATGCAAGACATAGTATTTTTTTCCACATGATGGAACACAAACCCAAGTCCTTTCCACGTATAAAGAGCAAGAGAATTTGTTGCC